TATATATATACAATGTACATTTTATATATAATATACATTACATATATATATATATATTATATATTATGTAAAAACTAATAATATATATATATGTATTAACATTGGATATATATATTATATTGTACATACTATGTATATTATTTTTTGTACATATAATACATATTACATCTTATTTTTTGTATTTATATTATATTATTATTTATTATGTTTTTTTATTGTTGATGATTACTAATATTTTTCTTTTCTTTTAAAAGTAATTTATTATTTGTTTTTATTTATTATTATTACCGTATTACTTTTATTGTGATTGTTATTTTTTGTATTTTACAATTATTACCATTATTATTTTGATTTAGATCTATATTTTAACTTACTAGTACTATGATTAAACCACACCGTTATTGTTATTGCTAATGTTAGCATAGTAATTATTTTAACCATGGATCAACAACAAGTTTCACATCGGGCTCGTGCTGGCAGGATGGCCAGCCGTACACCTGGGAAGAGTTCGAGGACTACTACCAGGACTCGGCATGGCGCGAGTGGCGTGCAGCAGCGGAAGCTGAACCCGATGGATTTCTTGAAGGTGCGATGATAGGAGACGCCCAGTGGACAGGAATCCATGTTTTTTTGGTGGGAGAAACAACTATTTGGAAGGTGGCAGTGATTGAACTTACTGAATGACGGGAAACCAGTGCTGGTTTTGTCTCTTGTTTCCTGTGACACCGAAAAACGAAAGTGAGACAGCACAGCCGGCAGTGGCTTGTGCAGGCAATGTGCTTCACACCTGCAATTACGAGAAGTTGGGATGTTTGCGCATCAGAGACTAGTCTGCATTGAGTTGCCACTTTGAACATCATATCAGAGATGCTCCTTTCCACCCCACAAGAACCAACTTAACGATTTGTGCCGTTGCGGCACCTGGCATTAAGTTTCGTGTAGAGTGAACCATCAAATGGGCCCAGTCTGAGGAGACACTGACAGGAGACCAAGTTTGCCGCATCCAACGAGTTTTGCTAGCTGGAAAATCGCTGTTTTGTAACGATTTGCAAATGATTCTTGAAGATTGAACTGACTTACTTATTCAACATGATTATTTTCTAGTACCTGCCTGTTTGTTTTTTCTTGGGGGGGCGGTACGTTCAATTATCCTTTGGTAATCTGCCAGCTGGCTGCAAAATCAATGCGAATGACCTGAGATGAGCATGGAAAAACATGGGCTGTGGGTCAAACTGTAATGTTTATCGTGAGTGTTGGTGACTTTGAATGTTAAACAATATTAGCAGTCCTTTTTTTGGTACTAGAATTTTGACCCATGCTGACCCTTTTTTTGGGTGCAGTTCCACAAGAAAAAAACTGTGATAATTATAGCCATAGTATTCCACCATAGTTATGGTGAAGAAAACCCAGCCCAACTCATGGGGTTTATTACCATGGTTATACGTAATGGTTATAACAATAGTTAAAGTGGTTTTAACCATAGTCATGGTGGTTATAACCAAAGTCATAGTGGTTATAACCATAGTCATAGAATAGTGGATATAACAATAGTTATAGTGGATATAACCATAGTCGCAGTGGTTAAAACCATAGTCAAAGTGGTTATAACAATAGTGGTTATACCCATAGTCGTAGTGGTTATAACCATAGTCATAGTGGTTATACCCATAGTCGTAGTGGTTATACCCATAGTCATAGTGGTTATAACCATAGTCATAGTGGTTATACCCATAGTCATAGTGGTTATACCCATAGTCATAGTGGTTATAAGGATAGTTATCGTGGTTATAACAATAGTGGTGATACTCATGGTCATAGTGGGTATAACCATAGTCATAGTGGTTAAAACCATAGTCATAGTGGTTATACCCATAGTCATAGTGGTTATACCCATAGTCATAGTGGTTATAACCATAGTTATAGTGGTGATACCGATAGTCAAAGTGGTTATAACCATAGTCATAGTGGTTATTACCATAGTTATACTGGTTATAACCATAGTTATACTCGTTCTACCCATAGTCATAGTGGTTATACCCATAGTCATAGTGGTTATCACCATAGTTATAGTTGTTATAACCATACTTATATTGGTTATCACTCGAACTATGGTTATAACCACTATGACTATGGTTATGACCACTACGACTATGCCTATAACCACTATGACTATGGGTATAACCAGACTATGGGTATAACCACTAAAACGATGGCTATAACCACTGTAACTATGGTTATAACCACTACAACTATGGGTATAACCACTATGACTATGGTTATAACCACTATAACTATGGTTATAACCATAGTCATAGTGGTCATAATCATAGTCATAGTGGTTATAGCCATAGTCATAGTGGTCATAATCATAGTCATAGTGGTTATAACCACAGTTATTCTGGTTTTAACCATAGTTATACTGGTTATACCCATAGTCATAGTGGTTATAGCCATAGTCATAGTGGTTATAACCATAGTTATAGTGGTGATACCCATAGTCAAAGTGGTTATACCCATAGTCATAGTGGTTATAACCATAGTCAAAGTGGTTGTAACCATAGTCATAGTGGCTATAACCATAGTCATGGTGGTTATAACCATAGTCATAGAATAGTGGATATAAAAATAGTTATAGTGGATATAACCATAGTCATAGTGGTTAAAACCATAGTCAAAGTGGTTATAACAATAGTGGTTATACCCATAGTCATAGTGGCTATACCCATAATCATAGTGGTTATAAGGATAGTTATCGTGGTTATAACAATAGTGGTTATATCCATGGTCATAGTGGTTAAACCCATAGTCATAGTGGTTATACCCGTAGTCATAGTGGTTATACCCATAGTCATAGTGGTTAAAACCATACTTATAGTGGTTATAATCATAGTCATGGTGGTTATACCCAGAGTCATAGTGGTTATACCCATAGTCATAGTGGTTATACCCATAGTCATAGTGGTTGTAACCATAGTCATAGTGGATAGTGGTTATCACCATAGTTATAGTTGTTTTAACCATACTTATATTGGTTATCACTAGAACTATGGTTATAACCACTATGGCTATGGTTATGACCACTACGACTATGCCTATAGCCACTATGACTATGGGTATAACCACTATGTGACTATGGCTATAACCACTAAAACTATGGCTATAACCACTATGACTATGGTTACAACCACTATTTATAACTATGGGTATAACCACTATGACTATGGTTATAACCACTATAACTATGGTTATAACCATAGTCATAGTGGTCATAATCATAGTCATAGTGGTTATAGCCATGGTCATAGTGGTCATAATCATAGTCATAGTGGTTATAACCATAGTTATTCTGGTTTTAACCATAGTTATACTGGTTATACCCAGAGTCATAGTGGTTATAACCATAGTCATAGTGGTCATATCCAAATTTACAATGGTTATACCCATAGTCATAGTGGTTATAACCATAGTTATAGTGGTTATACCCATAGTCATAGTGGTTATAACCATAGTCATAGTGGTTATAACCATAGTCATAGTGGTCATGATCATATTCATAGTGGTTATAACCATAGTTATAGTGGTTATACCCATAAAAGTCACCCCAACTGAAGCCCCAGGCTACTTCAAGTCCTCTGCCACTCACGGCAGCTATCTGGGCAGCCAGCGATTGGGCAGATCTCCTGTGACTGGACGCCAGAGTGGGAAATGCTGGGGATGTTGATGTGAGAAGTAGACGGGCCATGGAATTAGTTAACTTAGATGTATATCAATAGATTAAAAAAAATGGGATATAGTGGTTTATAATGATTTACAATGGTTTACAATGGTTTATAAGTCAGTTGCTAGCCACTTAGCTACTCCCATGGCCGATCTAAGTAGGCTTGGAGAACAAGACCCTGTTGATTTTTATTTTCTCGGACAAAGAGGAAAGTTGTAGCCCCCTAAGCTCATTGGCGCATTAATTTGATACAGCCATATAACATCACATTCAACCTTGGCCGGTTTGATTTGCTTCGACATTACAACATATGCTACTGTATGGTCAGCAACGGGGTCCCCCAAAAGAAAATACAGTATATACTTGTTTTCCCATTGCTTGACGGGGATTCGGCTTTCCTGTCCTTACGGGCGTCACCTTTTTCCAGAATTCATTGAATGGGAGATCTACAGGACTCTCCCCATACCTGGAGGTACGTATTGTTTCCTTGAAATGAAACCAACCCATATTGATTTTCGAACTGAGTGTGTTCAACTTTTCAACCCAAAAGCAGACATAGATAGAAATAGCATCTCCCCAATTTCACCAGAAATATTCGGATTGAGGCCTTGTAACAACCATCCCCCATTGACGGTCCATGACTTTGCGGCATTAAAAAGCAGCCGCAGCGGAGGTCAGAACGCTGCCTTGGAAAGCGCCTCCTTCCTGGATGTGCAAAGTTCCCTGGGCAAAACATACCAGCTGATGATCGATGGATGTTCGCCACAAGAAATATGGTATCCATCGAATGTATGTTCTGACACATCCCTGTTGATGTTTTTCTGTCTTTCTCAGCTATCATTCCCCTGTTTGAAAGTTTGGGAATGATTGGGATCTGATGTAACACTCAAAAGAGTCACTATAAGTCGGATGACATCGAAAATTCACGACTCTTGTCTCCATACATGTTTGGACCATTGTTTGTCATGATTCGGCCAAATGATCAGCATTATGATTGGGCAGCTTCTTTTGGCCCGGCCTGGTTTGACGGGCCACACCTGAGGCCACCGATGTTGATCTTTTTAGTGGGAAGGAGTATCTTCAGAGCGCAGAGGACTGTGGATTCAGCGATTTCATCGCGGTAATCGGCTGCCCCAGGCTGCACCAGCGTACAGTGACAGGAATCGGTACCAATGTTGCCACCAAAATCATACAGGATGGGCAGTTTGCATCTGTACATTTCTGCACCAAGACTCAATTTGATTTGTTTTGGATGTTGACTGGGGATAGAGGGAGTTCACCCGCAACCAAATACTTTATGTGTATGATCTTGGGAGCTTGCATCATTCTCGTTGCCTATCTTTTTTGCGGATTAGTGGTTCATAATGGTTATATTGTACCGCTGGCGATATAATTAAATATATGTGAAGTGCATTTTTGAACCAATAGATTCATTTGATTTTACCAAGACATCATGTTGTCATTGATTTCCAATGGAAAGGCCGTCATTTCGTCAATTTTTTTGTCATCCAAATGGATGGCATGGGCTTGGGGATGATCAACATGATTTTGCTGTTGGAAAAGACCACAGATGGAAGCGGCAAAGAAAGTACATAAGTGGTTGGTGGTTTGGAACATTTTTTACTTTCCATAATATATGGGATAATCCTTCCCAGTGACCAATATTTTTCAGAGGGGTTGAAACCACCAACCAGATAATGACCTTTCGACATTTGCTAATACATTATCTGGCGAGCATCATGTGTTGAAAGAATCTTTGAGTAAGGCTGCGCAAGAACTGGCAGAAGCTTTCGATGTGCAGCCGACGGCTTCAGTTGGCAAAATTGCATCGGTGAGAAAGATGCAAGTACAAAGAGCATATTATAAGAAAAAAATGTCAGAGCTTAGAAAAGCAGCTGAAAGATGCTTCAGGTGTCAAAAGTCACGGTGCAAAAGACACTTTTATCTGCAAATCGGCACACATTTTTTTTTTAAAATACAGACCATATATGATATATATATATATGATATATATATATATATTATACATATTATACATATTGTACATATTATACATATTGTACATATTATACATATTGTACATATTATACATATTAACTAGATATAATATATATATGTATATATATGTATATATATACATATGATGTATATATATATATGTATATATATATATACATATGATGTATATATACATATATATATATATATTTATATGTATATATATATACACATATATAATATGTATGTATATACATATTATATATATATTGTTTTGTATTTGATGTGTGCCTGCATGCTTAACTACAATATATTTAATCTATTATCATGCATGTACATATCACATCGCAGGATCTTCTCCGTGAGGCCGAGCGCAGCAACCGGGCCATGACCTGGTTATGTCGGCTCTTAGGATCCGATGGTTTGGGCAAACCGGGCACGACTAGACCGGGCACGACTATAGATGTGTTGTTTCTCCATTTTCTGAGACAACACATCAAAACAGAAGATCTACGGAAGATTTTTCAGTGGTAATTGTGGCTGTAGAGACTCCATTTTCGGACAATGGCTCGATGGAAACTTGGGACTCACTCGGTATCAGTGGAGATCTGAGGCAATGTGGGTGACATCAATGGATCCTCTCCAAAGTTTCAAAACAACCTGAGCTTTGCCGTCTGTTACGAGTGGCAAATTTTAGTTGCAATCGATTTTGACCTGGCAGCAGTGAATAGTTGGATCCAAAACGCAGCATCAAAGTTCATGAACATTGAATCTTGGGTCCGATTGCATTTTTGCTGGGTCAACAACATGCTTTCCCAAAAATCAAAGAACTGCAATCATTTGGACATGTTCCACATGATACTTCTTAGGATTTCGGTGTCAGATCACAAGCCCCGTGTCGAACCCAAACGGTGCAATTTCTGGGCCAGCAAACCAATTTTTCCATGCCCTTTTATGTTTTGTTGCTGTGGTTTTCACTTTATAAGTTCTAAAGTCATTTTCTATTTAACGTCTGTTTCTATATACTGTATTGACACATGCAATTATATATAATTAAATATATACTCATAATTATATAAAATTATATATATTATGTATATATGTATAATATGTATGTGTATGTATATATATATACATATATATATATATCATCCCATTAAACAATCTGTTTCCCAGTCGGAGTCAATGTGTTCGCAGCCACTCTGCTCCGTTCAGGAGCGGTTGCAGCAGTGCTTGGGATCTGGATGTTCCTGACGCTCTGACAATGGACTGTCCGGTGAGGGTTTCTTAAAATGGTGGATCCTCAAGTTGCCATGGTTGTTTCAATACTAAAACTGCAAAAACGGTCAAATGACTTGGATGATTTGGGGTAGCCCCATGACTTGGTAAACTTTCACGGGGGGCGAAAAAGAATTGTCAACTCGAACTTGAGCAGCTATAACAAGAAAAAACAACAGGGTCGATTCTGTCCCATTTTCCTGAGATGATGTGGTAGCAGGGTCCTCTCCGTGAGTTGAGCCGACATAAGATTTTGTTTTGGATGTTCAGGTGACATGGTGGATTGACCCACCTTATTGTGAAGCTGGAGGAGATGGCACGGATGGGTCAATATATATCAGCTAAAGAGAACAGATGTTGAACGCGTATTTGCTTGATATCCCACTTTAGCATGCTGTAACCCAGAACCATTTGGGGGGCATGGCCATGCATGGCCCACATGGCGAATTCTCGGCGCGGGCGCCCGAGCCAAGGAGCCCAATTCATAGCCTGGTGGAGATCGTGGAAAACTTCTTCCACTGGTGGCTGGGATGATGACCTGAAAGGGAAACCCGACGGGTAGAACCTCATCTGGTTGGTGGTTTGGAACATTTTTTTTCCATATATTGGGAATAATCATCCCAACTGACTAATATTTTTCAGAGGGATTGAAACCACCAACCAGTCATTGATCAAGAGCCTGCTTTGGCTTTAGGACCGAGCAGGACCTGTTTTTCCCCCCGTGATGAGTCCGTGATGTTTTTGGGTTCCGCCTCATTCCTGGACAATTGAGCTTTAGCAAGTCAAATGCATGCATAATAAAATACCAGGAGTTGTTGAGTTAATTAGGCAGGAAGTATAAAACGTAGCAAACAAAAATGGTATGATATGATAATATGATATTCGACATATTTTCCAATCTCCAAGGAACACCAATTTTTGTAGAGGATAAACACTATTTCGAATGATGGCATTTACCATTGCCATGTGAACTTACCTCAGGGCAACTGGCAGACTAGCAAACCCAATCGCACACCATATTACAGTGGAGGATCAGGATTTCAAACTCGCAACCTAAACCACCAATTCACCATTGGTTGATGTATGGAACGCAACTGTTTGATCAAGATATGCATTTGGTCAGCTATATAGGATTATCTAATTATCAATTTGTTTATCTGTTTATCCGCTTCTCTCTCTCTCTCATTATATATATAATTATATATATATACATATATATGCATATTTAATTTATATAATTATAATAACGATAATAATAATAGCAATAATAACAACAATAATAATACATTACATAGACATGGACATGTTCCCCCCATTAAATCACTAACCTGCCAAAATCTGCATGGGTGGATTTCACAATTATATACACTAAAAGCGCGTCCCTTAATACCCTAGTATTAATCAATGCCTACATGAATGTTATGGCAAACAACATCCTCATCTATCATTACATCTCAAGTAAGCGTATACCGTATATCCCATTATATACTCTGACATAGAATACGCGGAGAGGGGTAATTCCCACAATTGTTCGAAGGGAATCAAATCGGGAAACCCGATGGTAAAACCCACAGTTTTCTGTATTTTCCCTTAAACGAATACATTGACACACTGTAATCAAACATGGCAAAGGAATTCCCAAATTTAGTTCAATGGTTTTCCCTGGTGCGTTTGCTTTGTGAGCTTGGCATGGTTGTATTGTGTGAGCATGTTGCTTATATATATATATGCTTATTATATTGGTTTTGTTTGCTCGAAGTGCAGCTGCAGATCTGCTGTGGCTGCTTGGTGTCCAGTTTGCTGGCTGCAGCCATGCCTGTGTGGCAAGATTTTATGCAAGGAAAATGTCTTGCCTGTGTCAGAGCCAGCTTGGGGCATGTTAGTGGTGGGTTGTCCAATTGCTAGCCATTGTATAGATGACTTTCTCAGTGTCTCCCTCGATAATTTTCCCAGCTAGAAGCCTCCATTTACAGGGGATTTTCCAGTTTGAAACCTCCACTTGTAGATGATTTCCCATTAAAACCTCCATTTATAATGGAATTTTCCGGATTTCCTATTTAACCTCCATTTATAGTGGAATTTATAGGTTTGAACCTCCATTTTCATTTCCCTATGATTTTCCTATTTCCCAAGTCAGGTTCCGTGTTCTCCCGCTGCTGGGCGATGCTTTGGGCTTCCTGGGCAGCGTGGTCAGCGGCGCCGTGGGCTGTGCGCTCTTAGCCTTGGCGTTGTCGTTGGGCCTGCCATCGGCCATGCTGGTGGTGAGTCACCTGGCGATATAGCCCTGCTGCTATAACTCCAACAATGAATAGTTAATGGATAGCTAATGGATATTTCATGAATAGTTGATGGATAGTTAGCGGATAGTTAATGGATGCTTAGTGGATAGTTAATGGATGATTTCATGGACAAATTCATAGATATATGGAAATTTACCCGCTGAAGTCACTGGTCATTTAACGGAGCTATGGAAAATCACAATTCTTAGCAGGCAATTCGGTAATTTATCATAAAGATTCAGCATAAATCATCTGTAGCTACAGGTTTGTATTGGTATTATATGGTAACTATGGATTTACATATGGCAACTAATGGTATTAATATGACTAGTTCTGATTGTAGCTATGGATTTATATAATTTTGATAGAGTATTATTGGGATTATATAACTAATGTACATATCTATAAGTGTAAATAATCGAGAATCTTTGGATATGGACTTCTAGTAGTAGTAGTAGTAGTAGTAGTAGTAGTAGTAGTAGTAGTAGTAGTAGTAGTAGTAGTAGTAGTAGTAGTAGTAGTAGTAGGTAGTAGTAGGTAGGGTAGGAAGGAGTAGGAGTAGGAGTAGGAGTAGGAGTAGGAGTAGGAGTAGGAGTAGGAGTAGTAGTAGTAGGTAGTAGGTAGTAGGTAGTAGGTAGTAGGTAGTAGGTAGTAGGTAGTAGGTAGTAGGTAGTAGGTAGTAGGTAGTAGGTAGTAGGTAGGTAGTAGGTAGTAGGTAGTAGGTAGTAGGTAGTAGGTAGTAGGTAGTAGGTAGTAGGTAGTACGTAGTAGGTAGTAGGTAGTAGGTAGTAGTAGTAGGTAGGTAGTAGGTAGTAGGTAGTAGGTAGTAGGTAGTAGGTAGTAGGTAGTAGGTAGTAGGTAGTAGGTAGTAGGTAGTAGGAAGTAGGAAGTAGGAAGTAGGTAGTAGGTAGTAGGTAGTAGGTAGTAGGTAGTAGGTAGTAGGTAGTAGGTAGTAGGTAGTAGGTAGTAGGTAGTAGGTAGTATGTAGTAGGTAGTAGGTAGTAGGTAGTAGGTAGTAGGTAGTAGGTAGTAGGTAGTAGGTAGTAGGTAGTAGGTAGTAGGTAGTAGGTAGTAGGTAGTAGTTAGTAGGTAGTAGGTAGTAGGTAGTAGGTAGTAGGTAGTAGGTAGTAGGTAGTAGGTAGTAGGTAGTAGGTAGTAGGTAGTAGGTAGTAGGTAGTAGGTAGTAGGTAGTAGGTAGTAGGTAGTAGGTAGTAGGTAGTAGGTAGTAGGTAGTAGTAGTAGTAGTAATAGTAGTAGTAGTAGCAGGAGTAGTAGTAGTAGTAGGGATCCCCAGAACATGGAGTGATGACCCACCGGTAGAGTCACCGTTTGCTCTGGACATTACATTCACAAATCATCTATAAAGGGGGCAATCTAAACCATAGCTATGTTCGTTTACTGGCCAGTAATGGGGATACATATATCTTGATGTATTCGGGACATAGCAAAGAATATGATATCAAATGTTTGTAGGATTGGTCCCAGTTCATGGGGATACACTGGGGATATAGTGGGCATACATATAGGAACCGATGTTACTGGTTGATGACATATCTATGGGGATTTAATAATCACAATGGTTTCAACCATCAAACATATGGGTCTGTGATACAGTAGGTTTTTGTTTGCTTCTTTGAGTGGATAGTTTGGGGAAATTGACAGGAAACCAAGGTTTTGACGATGAAATCGTGGGGTTTTCCCGAGTGTTTCTCTTAGAGAAAGCCTGGGAATAGTATGGCCAATTCCGCAAGTGGGCTGGAAATACTGTAAATGGAAAATACTGTAAATATCTGTAAATGGGAATGCCCCTGGCAGGTGTAGCAGTCGGCTGTGGGCTGTAGCATGAAATTTGATAGAAAATTGCCAGGAAACCATGGATCAAACACAAAAGGTTTCCCGGTGACTCTACTGCGCAGGGGAATCAGTTGCTTAAATGGAGGCTTGGAGCTAGATGTTGGGGTTTCCATAAATGGGGGTACCCCCAAATCATCCATTGAAAATAATATTTTCCATGAAATAAACCATCCAGCTATTGGGGTACCCCCATTTATGGAACCCCCCATCATCTCATGATCTCAGTTGGCCTTGAGCACGGCTAGCCCTGGTTTTTGTTTGTTCATTACGATGCCGTTCATGACATGGCTTCAACCATGGCGATTCTAAGCAGTGACTATGTGGGATGAATATCCAAGTAGACACCCGGCAAGACTCTGGCACTAAAACACCTGATGTTTCAACCGACAGCCCTGCATCACCAAGGCGTCTCTTGGTGCGTGATGCGGCCCATACTGGGAATTCCGATGCTTCTTTGCAGCTTGTCGTGTCAGAAATCACCCCTTCTTGCGGCTTGGGTATCATGACATTGGTGTACGCAACCAGCCTTAAATTTGACCAATGATACTCCAGTCGTGAGGAACGTGGTTCCACAGTGGTGTATAAGAAGTTGGCCTAAACCAGTATAAGGAAAACTCGGCTTGATTGATTCAAGCCATCAACCTGTTCATGATCAGTGAGGCTCCCCACTTTCATGGCTATGTCGGTTGATCCCAACAATCATCGTTGTTTCACAACCTTTCCCAGCATTTTACAAGCATGGTCAGCTCCTCAAGTTGTGCAATTATGGGATATCTCCCGTTATTCATGGGTTACAATTAATGCTACAATCCAGATATTCCGATGCACATCCAGTCCAATCACTGCGGCCCCAGGCAGCTTGTTCGGCTTGGCACTCGGCCTTCGGAAGCTGTTTCGTGCGGCGAAGGTCAAGACCAACTGACTCACCGAAGCAGCAAAAAGTCGATTTCGCTGGAAGCTTGGAGGATTAAGGCAAGAACACGAATGACACTAATGTCAACACCGGATTGAGGCTTCTCCCTGAGCTGTCACATTGGGGTGGTCCCATTCTAGTAGATTAATTATGACTATATATTTGATTTTGGTACCCCCAAATCAATCAACAACTATTGTCACCTTCGCGCCCATTGGATCAGCTGCCGGTCAGGTGCTTTAGAGGATTTGCTGGCGGGTAAATCCGAAAAGGAACCGGCTGCAACACAAAAAAGGGCTGGTCATGCTGAAGGCTGCCCTGCAACCAAGGGGGATCAGCAGGATGCAGCCAACCCGAAAAAGGATTCATTCTAAGGAAATTGAAGGAATTTATCAATCAATCAATCAAGCTACCTATCAATCTATCTATCTATCTGTTCTTTTGACTATATCTATATCTATCGATATCTATCTATATCTATCGATATCTATCTATATATGTATTTATATCTATCTATTTCTATCTCTATCTATCTCTATCTATCTATATCTATCTAAATCTATCTATATCTATCTATGCGTGTCTATATCTATCTCTATCTATCTCTATCTATCTCTATCTATCTATATCTATCTATATCTATCTATATCTATCTTTATCTATATCTATCTATATCTATCTATATCTATCTATATCTATCTAAATCTATCTATATCTATCTATGCGTGTCTATATCTATCTCTATCTATCTCTATCTATCTATATCTATCTATATCTATCTATATCTATCTTTATCTATATCTATCTATCTTTATCTATATCTATCTATATCTATCTATATCTATCTATATCTATCTATATCTATCAATTCTATCAATCTATCAATATATCTCAATATGTCAGTTTGGAATCCAACAATTAACGCGACCTACCAAGTATCAGACTCCCCAACAAGCCCTGGTTTGACAGGCATCGTATATCGATTTTTTGGTCCTACCACGTTTCAGACTCCCCGCTCTCTGACAATGGACACCACCCCCCACACACCCTGGTATAGCATTGTATGACCATGTGCCGGTGTTCAGTTCATTTTGAGAGGTCGGGATTAATTTACTGGATGCAAGTACCTAGGTGGGAATCTTCTCATATAATACGTATATACATGTATGTATATATATATATAAAACATGTATCAGTGTTGCTGCAGCGCATCATAAATGATAGCCATAAAGGGGGGGAATTGGTCGTTTGCTCTCCCGCAGGAGCTAGGACTGAAGCCGCCCCAACTGAACGCTTTCCGCGCGGAAGCCCGGTGGGTTCAAAAGTCATCATGGTCATCATGATCGACTAGTTGCATCATAGATGGGGTTAGCACATCGATTGGACATCATCACTTTTATTGCCCAACTTATATCAACTTGGGTCAGTTTCTATCCCTTTTTTTGCTCATCTGTGGCCCTGTTTGCCCAGTTTTGCTGATTCATTTGGACCATGCAGTCCGGCAGGCAAACGGGGGAGCTGGATGAATGGCGAGGGACGCAATGATGGCCTCGCAGCCATTAACCACCATCTGTTTATGTATATATCTCTAAACATGTTACTATATTTCTATACATAGATGGATGGACAGGTAGACAAACAGATAGATCCGTATGTACAGATGGAGAAATGTGCAGATACGTAGTTTCTTATAGATCGATAGACGGGGCAAAAAACACATTTTTAAATAAACCCCCAACCATTACTGCAACACGGCGTCGCAGCGACGACCATTGTGCTCCATCTAGGAAGCGCCTATGATATTTATGAATTTCTATAGACGAACCAGCCGAACCAGCCATACTCATAGCAACACCCCAAAAGGGTATCTAGATGTCGTGTACCACAATTCGACTTATTCACGTTCTACTTTGTGATTTCCAATATTCCAACACTTGCTGGATCTGTGGTTAGTGGCTACAATCCTTCCATGGTGGCACAGAATCTGATGGGTCCCTTCCAGCACCACTAGATGTCGTAAATGGGTTTACTGCCCAAATATATACTTCCCACAACTCAATTTCCTTGGTATTTTGCTTGGGTATATGCAGTATACCAGGATCAAAACTGCGATGTGGCACTGTTTTTTTATGCCACTGGAGACAGGGAAAGACCTATCTGTCCAAGATCTTCAATGCTGAGAACAAGAGCCGTCGGAAAGAGCCCGGAGAGCCCAGTGACCTATGGCTGATGGATGCTGGTGGTATAGTAAACATTAGTAAACATATTTCGGATGTGTTTCATGGCCAGTAAACTTCCACATGTCTGAGAATCATGCAGCTTCAAGCTTCAGTGGAGGGTTTGGCCACGCATCTGAGGTTGGAAATTGGAGAGTTCTATCGCGGTCTGAAGCGGATACATGTCATAGACGCTCTAGACTTGTCAGAGGCGGCTGGGACTGGCATGGGTCAGAGTGCTGCAGAGCTATTCCCATTTATAAACTATAAACGTTATATAACATTCATTACATTCCTTGTGACTTTACCGAAATCCCAAAGGTTTTCCCAGGGGTTTTGCAACAAGCCGCCCAGGCCAAGCTTTGCGAGGCCTTGTGGGAACTGGACCCAGGTGCGGCGGCTTAAAATCGTTGGTTTTAATGGATGGTTATGGCCCCCAAAGATGGGTAATAATATGGTAGTAATTATAGGTTTTGACCCATCCCCAAATTGGTCTAAAAAAATAGTATTCAACCATTGTGAAAAAAGGGGTCTGCCAAGTAAAGACAAACATATCATCCTATATTTTGCGCGATCTTGGGAGATTTTGAGGGGTCTAATTTGAGCAATAGCCACTTAAGTGCATGGCCAAAACAATATCGCCTCTGAAATTGAGTTTCAAATCAGCGGTGTGGACCCAAAACAAATCGAACCATAGCAGATCAGGACATCCATGGCGGCCAGGTTTTGATGGTCGAGTCTATTTGCCAATCCTGGACCGAGCACTAAAGGCAGGAGCCATGGTGAGTCATTGCGAAAGATGGCGGAATATGCCATGTGTCACCACATTTTCGGGGAGATGGGATGAACCTCTGCCAGAAATTTCTTCCAGCATCCATCCATTTTTAATTTGCAGCAAGAAGAAACTGCAACAAAAAACAGCAGCAACTTTACAGATCACTTACCTACCCGAAGGATCCCGAAGGCCGATTCCCAGCCTGGGTCATGTTGATCTCAACTTCTCCGCAGGTTTTGGCGTCCACGGGTGTTTACAGTCGGAAAGCCCCACCTACCGAGGAGGAATCAATGCGCTTCCACCAAGGGCCAAGTGGCCACGGAAAACTTTGGCACCATGATTTGGGACTGAAGACATCTGAGCATATCCGTAGGTTTCCGCATAAAAACTGCAATTTTCTGGGTATACCATGGTATTACCAATATTTGCAGATCCATTTTCCAATTGGAGAATTTTGAAATGGTCCATAGTATTCGCGTTCCAGATGTGAAACATAGATGCAACATCCCCTTGGAAGCGAATCATCTAATTCTTGAGGGCGCAGATTTTGAGCCTCTTGGTTGTTGGAGGACTGATATTTTCGAGTTCGGGTGACGCTGTTTTTGGATTTGTTTCTTTTACGCAGAGTCACGAGTTGCCTGGGAACCCACCGCAGCGTTTCGTCCCCGCGATTTTCTCGGCTGAGAAAAGCGATGGCAGCTTGGCTGCAGCTGATCCCATCACAGGTAGAGCAAGTTTCGAGCATGAGGCTCAAAAATTGTGTGTACCTTAAAAAGTACCTTATGATGGTTATTTAACATAGGTATGGAACATCACAATTTTTAATCTTAATTAAGAGATAAATATATGTAAATCATCATCCATAAGTGGACTATTTTCCATAGCTATGTTGAATTACTGGCGGGTAAGCCATGGTAAACCCAAAAATCAATGAGAATTGGTGTTCAGTAAATCATCCGCAATTTTGGACAAACTATAATAATAATCTCATCCCCCCAATATTAAACACCCTCTAAACGGTCCCAAGTATCTGTGAATCCCCTACATGGCTTCTGGTGGCTGTTTAATACTTGGGGGAAGGAATTGATAAACTACCCGCCGGGTGCGGAATCGCGCGTGTAGGCGCATCACCATTGTCAAAAAATGACAACCCTTTCAGTGTTTCGTAGCTGTCTCAAAGTAAAAATCAAAAAATGGTCATTTTTCTTGCGTTTGGCAACCCTTCCACAGGAAATCCGGACCTTTTTTTGCCTTGCCAGTTTCAGTGATCATTGTGCATTTAGACCTGTGCTGTTTTTTCAACAGGTCAGGACACAACCACCCCATGCTCAGCGTAGCATCAGTGGCGTGTTCAACTTCAACCGAACGTTAACATCCCCACCCCACCCCACCCCACCCCACCCTATGCTCAGCGTAGCATCAATGTCAATGGCGTGTTCAACTTCAACCGGACGTTAACATCCCCACCCCACCCCACCCCACCCCATGCTCAGCGTAGCATCAATGGCAATGTTCAAACGAACGGTGTTAGCAACGTGTTCAACCGAACGTTAACATCCCCACCCCACCCCACCCCATGCTCAGCGTAGCATCAATGGCGTGTTCAACTTCAAACGAACGTTAACATCCCCACCCCACCCCATGCTCAGCGTAGCATCAATGGCGTGTTCAACTTCAAACGAACGTTCACATCCCCACCCCACCCCATGCTCAGCGTAGCATCAATGGCGTGTTCAACTTCAACCGAACGTTAACATCCCCACCCCACCCCATGCTCAGCGTAGCATCATTGGCGTGTTCAACTTCAACCGAACGTTAACATCCCCACCCCACCCCATGCTCAGCGTAGCATCAGTGGCGTGTTCAACTTCAAACGAACGTTCACATCCCCACCCACCCCATGCTCAGCGTAGCATCAGTGGCGTGTTCAACTTCAACCGAACGTTGACATCCCCACCCCACCCCACCCCAGCCCATCCCGCGTTGCCAGTTAGGTGAACATAAGAGTGCAACATGGTGTGTAAGCTCAAAAACATGATGTGAAATTGGGAATGTTGAAAATGTGTGTCACTACACGTACGGTTTTGCACCCGTTAGCATAAACTACTCTCTAGAAATTCAACATAGCTATGGAAAATGGCCCAATATAGATGATGTCCTTATTGAGTGATGATTTTCCATAGCAATCTGTTAAATTACGCGAGGGTAAACGTCTGTTTATTCATGAACTATCATGAGTTATCCATTGAATGAACTATCCATGTTGCTTATAGATATCTCCAACGACTCACCCGAAACGGGCCGAAAAAACACCGTCCCCGTCCTGACTCGAATCCAGGTCCGCACGCTCGCATGGGTGCTGCTGCTGCAGGGTGTCCTCTGCCAGGAGGCCACAAGTCCTATGAGCTGAGCTGATAAGTTGGCTTTCCCAGATGATTCATAATCATACAGGAAACCATATGGTTGTTACCCAGTGCAAGGGTTTCCTCTAAACATCCCCTCGAAGCAACTGGGAAAGTTAGAACATGGCATTGGGACATTAGAACCGTGCTGGCGCTTCGGTTTCAGTTGCATGTAGGTAAGACGAAAGTTTACCCAAGTGGTCCGAGGTCAGCATATCTCAAGGAGATTTGCGATTGTATGAATATGGGCTGCACTTTCTAACTGTTACAACATCTGGAACTAATGACCGGATCATGGATTTGCAATGATTTTCCACTGGTATCTTTTTAAAACCCCAAACTTACATTTTTTTCATACTGAAAATCCACAGAAATGACAGCCTGCCAGGATGATCTTCTGAGGGATCGCATTGAAGAGCTGGAAGGTGCCTGGGGGTGCTCATGCCTGGGTGCCTGGGGGTATCTCTCAATTTTTGGCTGGTTTATCAAAGACGGCTATTCCATGCTGGGCCAGGCTTAGTGGCGAAGCATCAGGAGAAGCTCTTGGTGCAGCAGGGACGATTGGAAGAGCACCGCAGGCGGGGATCGACGGAAGACACTGATGATGATTTCAACAGTGGGGAGAAACCATAGAAAAACCATAGAAATTCCAAATTTCTCCAACATTTCTCTGGTTTTTCCAGGACTTATACAAATGGATCACATGGTTGGAGTTGGGTTTTCCAGTTGACTGGCTGAAATGTGGTGTTCTTAGTGCTGCACTAGAGCTGAACATGGCAATTTTAATGGGGAACACGATGATTGTTGGGGTGGCACTATTTTCAGACAAACCAATGTACTTCAAGGGTGAGTGAACGAATTCCACACATCGAATGGCGGATTTTTCACTTCCATCCCTGTCATCAACATACGTTTTGCAAAGACAGCTTTGCCTTTCAACGGCACGAGGCAAAAGAACAGACGTTTGCAAAGTGCGTGTCTAGGCGGTGTAACGATCCCCATGGAGTGCGACGACTCGAAGGTAACGCATTGACCCGCTAACATTTATATAAGCGAAAGCTACAACTTGGAATGACTCAAACCGATATGTGGATATATGATATAATTATATATAATTACCGTAATTATATATATATATATATATGCATGGATTGTATGGATTACATGGTGTATCAACGCAATTGTTGCTACATGCGAAGTCTCGACCCAGACTACAATGATAATTGACTGAAGCAATTATTCAGAAGGCTTTTTTTTTTCTCCCCCTGACACGCAGTCTATCACTATCACCGGGACACTTTCAGGGTTTTGCATATATATATATATAATAAACATACACATTTGCATGTGTGCATCATAGGATATATGCTTTGGAATTTGTTGCAACAATGATTACTGCTATTCTGCTCTTTATACTTTTATCTTATCAACATAATTGAGAAGAACATATGAATATAGTAAGCCCATGAGAAGAGAAAAGGTTCAGTTTACAGTTTACCAGTATTTTTGAATTGACGACTACTTAAAGCACTTTTGGGGGTTACTACAAATATAATCTATATATCTATGTCTATCTATCTATCTATCTATCTCTCTCTCTCTATCTATCTATCTATCTATCCACCTATCCACCTATCTACCTATCTACCTACCTACCTACCTACCTATCTATCTATCTATCTATCTAATCCATGTCTAAATCTAAATTTAAATCTAAATTACTGTATATCATCTATATAATCTGACCTATCCATCTATCTTTGCATCTCATATGTGTATGTGTACACCCTCCAGTAAAGTGATATGGAAAACCCACCATTTGTAGCGCATGTTCAAACGGGAAGCAACCATGAATTTCCGAAGCTATGTTAGTTTAGTGGAGGGTGATATTATTGTTATTATTATTATGTCATATTATTATATATTATGATCTATTATAACATGTTATCATAGTGTATATATATATATAATTCACACATTACAACTATAGGATATTATTACGATATATTATAATATCATCATACATTAAATTAAATTACATTACATTACGTTACATTACATTGCATTGCATTACATTACATAGATACACACATACACACATACACACATACATACATACATACATACATGCAGAAACACAAACACACATACATTACATACATTACATACATTACATACATTACATACATTACATACATTACATACATTACATACATTACATACATTACATACATTACATACATTACATACATAACATACATAACATACATACATTACATTACAGTACACTACATTACATTACATACATTACAGTACACTACATTACATTACATACATTACATACATTATATACATTACATACATTACATACATAACATACATTACATACATTACACATATTTCATACATTACATACATACATTACACATATTTCATACATTACATACATACATTACATTACAGTACACTACATTACATTACATTACATACATTACATACATTACATACATAACATACATAACATACATAACATACATAAACATACATTACATACATTACATACATTACATACATTACATACATTACATACATTACACAAATTACATACGTTACATACATACATACATTACATATATTTCATACATTACATACATTACATACATTACATACATAACTTACATAGCATATATAACATACATAACATACATAACATACATACATATATAACATATATAACATACATAACATACATAACATACATACATAACATACATACATTACATTACAGTACGCTACATTTACATTACATTACATTACATTACATTACATTACATACACATACATACATACATACATCCATACATAAATACATACACACACATACATACATAAATACATTACATAACATACATAACATAACATACATACATGCATGCATGCATACATACATACATAGATACATAGATACATAGATACATAGATCGATAGATAGATAGATACATAGATAGATAGATAGATAGATAGATAGATAGATACATACATACATACATACATACATACACAGACTTACATGCATGCATGCATGCATGCATACATACATACATACATACATACACACACATACACATAACACATAACACATAACACATAACACATAATATGTACAGTACATACTAATATATTGCTATATACTATATATATACACAACACTGTGTATATATATAATACGATATATATATACAATACTCTCTCTCTCTCTCTATATATATATACATACACCCACTTTCGTCTCTGCATTTCTACGTCCATTGTACGGATGCAGAGCTTTTCCAAGGACGCTGCCTGCCAGCATCCATGGTGCCAGCAACTCCACTCGAGCCTACACAGCGCCTCGGTGGGAACCAAGTTCAGTCAGGTGAAATGTGGGGTGACAATGGGTACATAACGGGAATATCAAGAGAATATGATGGGAATATGATGGGAATATGATGGGAATATGATGGGAATATGATGGGAATATGATGAGAATATGATGAGAATATGATGGGAATATGAATATGATGGTAATTTGTTTCCCCCAAGCAATTGTGTTAAAAAAATGGGACACCACTAACCCTACATCCCCCGCTGACCGTGGATCTATATTTGGGTCGCTTGCATGATCGACCTTCAAGTACTTCTCAAGGGGGTGAAATCACCTACCAGATGATCGTTGCCTGTCTCTCCCGTTTGATTCCCGTTAGTATACCGTCATTCATATCCTTAACATCCCACTATCAATGGGATACAAATGATTGTATATCTGTATATCCCATTAACTATATCAACCAAAAACATATATATATATAGATACCTATATATAGATATCAATATCCCAATGGGAATATATCCCCATTGACTCTCCCCATCTGGTCCTTTCCTCCGCTGAGTTCGATGAAAAAGTGGCTGGAGCCATGGACCAGGTTTGGAACGAGAAGATGAGGGTTTTCGTAGGCTTAAGTGATGTGAAGTAACATACATATTATATATATATATTTATAGACCCGTATATTGCAGTGCGGAAGGCTAGTAGAGTTAGATAGTGCCAAACTCTCCCCTGGTTTCAGGTTTTGACATTATGATAATATGCGACGATCTTGCAGCACTACAAAGCAGTACGTAGTTGATTTTCCGACTTGCCAAGTTGTTTGGTTGGTTGGTGGGATTTTCACATATTGATTTTTCAGCAATTTTCAGAATGCACACTTATTCGGCCTTTGATACTGACAGGCACCTACCACAACAATCCCAGTCAACTCATAGTTATGTTTCATTGGGATGAACGGCTTTCCCTTAAACTGATCCAATGATGGAATCCCAAGTACATGTCCGTTGGGGCCCGGGGCACGTGCAGATGTGGCTGCTGCTATGTGGAGCCTTGGTCATGTTCATGCAGGCAGGATTTAAGCAACACAAGTGGGATCTACCTAACACCAATTGGGGAATCTGAAGCAACTTAAACATGAGATGGGTACGATATCGTACGATATGGTACTATCTGGTTTTCAAACATTGCATTGACACGTTTCATATTTTGGTGAACACATCAGCTATAGATGAATATATAAAGGATTCTCCGTTGCCGGCTTAGACTACCAGAAAGGAGAAGCGATCACAATCTCGGCCCTTCCAGTGACACTACTGCTGCGGCTCCGGTAGTCAAGCGAGCTTTTCTGTGAGCATGTTGCACGTGCGCATGGAAGGACAACAAACCACTGAGTTGTTTTATGGACAACTTCAAAGACGCAAACCACGGTTTCACTTTCACGCAAGCATCGTATGCGCGGATTTGTCTCTTCAGCAGGTCGCATTATCCATCGCATATGAGCGGGGTCAGAAAACTTTCGTACTATAACTGAACCCAGCAACCAAGTTTTGACATAACCATAGGTCACCCCAGGTCCTGTTTCACTTCCCCCAAATCTGACGCAGGCTGGCTTTGCCATGGTGGAAAGTGGCACGTGCCGTGCCAAGAACGCGCAAAACATTCTGCTGAAGCACCTTGGGCCTCAACGTCTCAGCGATGGGGAAAATTTACATGGGAAATCCCCACGAAAATTGAGGTTTGAATGGGTAAATCATCCAGCAGCCCCACGTTTGATTCCCAGAGCCAGGGGAAAAAAAAACTACTCCAGACTCCACACCATCATGACATATCATGACCATGCGGCTACACTCCGGGACTGCAAAACCTAACAATAGATGGAGCTGCAGCATGCTGCAGCCACTTTTGGGTCAGCAGATGTCAGCAATCATCTTTCCCTGGATTCATACATTGCCCCGACATTGCAACATTGCCAACCATAGTAAGATGATAGGTAAAAGAACTAACAACCCCAAGTGGGGTATGGCGTGTGGAAACCATACATATACATATTATTCTTGGGTTTATCACATTGCATCCAGAAAACACGGAGGGCCATGCGGGTTACATCCACTGCCAAGGAACCTCACGGACGTTTGCATGGGAACCCTTGGCTGGTGGTTTTCAGGACTCTTACTGGTTCCACCTGGGGCGCTTTATTTTAAACCGACCCATGATTAAAAAAATGATCATTAAATAGGTCATTCTCAGACTACAGTGACTACACTCATCCCAAAATGGATCAAAATTTTCTGGAGCAATGATGGGTGCTGTCCTGCTGCAAAGATGCTCCCGGACCGATGAATCTTTGGTTCTGTCAGTGGAAACCACTCACCGGTAACGTACTATGTCAGGGTAGCCGGGTAGCCCAAGTGGGTCATCAAACTTGACAATGGAAAGTCATTTCTTTGCAACATGATTTAATTAACTATATATAACTATATATTCAGAATTGGAATTTCCCAGCAAGGTTCAACTACCAGAGGCTATGGATACCTGCCATGGGCAGGATGGGCTTTGGCCTACAGCGGACCGTATACCGACGATGGCATTCTGAAGAACGGCTTCCTTGGCTCCTTGACTGATGGTGCTTCACGTATAGGGAAGAATGTGGGACAGGCCCCACATATATATATATGGGAGCCGTCCGTAAAAGCAGGTCACAAATTTATGAATTGATGCGTTTACTTTGCTTTGCGCGATTGCTAAAACCTGCATCGCGATAGGCTGAGCGATTGGTTGGCGATTGGTTATACGGCTACCACCCTACTACTACTACTACTACTACTACTACTACTACTACTACTAGTAATAGAACTACTACTACTACTACTACTACTACTACTACTACTACTAGTACTGCTAGTACTACTACTACTACTACTACTACTACTACTACTACTACTACGAGTACTACTACTACTACTACTACTACTACTACTACTACTACTACTACTACTACTTTCGAGACCAGAACCATGCCAATAATTGACATGGCCGCGCGGATTTCCGCGCGCGCGGAATCCGCGCAGATGTTTTCAGGTCAGAAGGACATTCAAGCTAGCTCCAATTGAAAACAGGTCAGAAACAGGTCAGAAAGAGGTCAGAAACACCAAAAAGGCAGCACTTGCCTAGCATCCCATCCATCCATCCATCCATCCACCTCAGCTCTTATCATTGCTACTAATACTACTACTACTACTCCTGCTACTACTACTACTGCTACTACTACTGCTACTACTGCTACTACTACTACTACTCCTACTACTACTCCTACTCCTACTCCTACTCCTACTTCTACTCCTACTCCTACTCCTACTACTGGTATTACTGTGAGTTTTCCGGACCGTTTCCGGACCGCGCAATTTTCTTTTCTTCTCAAATATGAAAACGAATGCGTTCATGGGCGGATCCTTCTACTAGTGTTGCTACTACTCTCAGTATTACCACTAGCGCCGCTACCACTGCAACGCCGCTACCACTACTACACCGAGGAATTTTTGCCTTTGCTTTTCTCCACTTGACAGAAGTTCCACGGAAGGGTCAGAAATAGTCAGAAACCAGTCAGAAACCGGCCAAACGCAACCTCTCTCTCTCTCTCTCCCTTGCCTATTCCCTCACCCTCCTACCAGAACTCCTACGCCTACTCCTATTCCAATTTCCACTACCACTGCTAGTGCTACTGCTACTGCTAGTGCACTGTGAGTTTTCCGGACCGTTTCCGGACCGCACAAGCTTATTTTGCTCCCAAATTTGAAATCGAATGCGTTCACGCATGGATCCTTACTCTCATTACTAGATTTGCTACTACCCCCAGCACTACCACCACACCCGCTGCTACTGCACCACCCTGCACCACCACTACCAGGACTACCACTAGTACACCTAGGAATTTCTGCTCTTGCTTTTAAATCCAATTGCACTCGTGTGAAGGGTCAGAAACGAGTCAGAAACCAGTCAGAAACCAGTCAGAAACCCGTCAGAAACCGGCCAAACGCAATCTCTCTCTCTCTCTCCCTTGCCTATTCCCTCACCCTCCCATCAGAACTCCTACGCCTACTCCTATTGCAATTTCCACTACCACTACTGCTAGTGCTACTGCTACTGCTAGTCCTGCTGGTACTACTGTGAGTTTTCCGGACCGTTTCCGGACCGCGCAAGCTTATTTTGCTTCCAAATTTGAAATCGAATGCGTTCACGCATGGATCCTTACTCCCACTACTAGATTTGCTACTACTCTTAGTACTACCACCACACCCGCTGCTACTGCACCACCACTACCACTAGTACACCTAGGAATTTCTGCTCTTGCTTTTAAATCCAATTGACACGAGTTCCGCTGAAGGGTCAGAAACGAGTCAGAAACCAGTCAGAAACCAGTCAGAAACCCGTCAGAAACCGGTCAAACGCAACCATCTGTTTCCCCCTCCCTCCCTCTCTCTCTCTCTCTTTCTCTCTTTCCCTCCCTCTCCCTTTCTTCCCTTGCCCTGCTACTAGAACTCCTTCTCCTATTCCTACTCCTACTCCTACTCCTACTCTTACCCCTCCCTATTACTACTACTACTACTACTACTACTACTACGACTACTACTAGTACTACTAGTACTACTAGTACTACTAGTACTACTAGTACTACTAGTACTACTGCTGCTGGTACTACTGTGAGTTTTCCGGACCGTTTCCGGACCGCGCGAGCCTATTTTGTTCCCAAATTTGAAATCGAATGCGTTCACGCATGGATCCTCATTATATAATACATAACTTATATTTTATGTATATGATCTGATCAACGAAGAACAAACCCTTCCGCGATTGCTCACTGTGGTACCGCGGTTGCTACGCGATTGGCTGAGCGATTGAGGGCTGTCCGGGAAAAGGTATTTTGGACAACCCCCATATATACATATATACATATATATATATATATACATATATATATATATATATTTTTGCAAGTCTTCAGTATTGATGCATGTAGCAAGCATAACTTTCAGGATTCTCATGGTAATTATATACGCAAATCTAATTATCCCGAAGTGATAGGTGATGATAGGTGAAATGCAACTTCAAAGTGTCAGAGTAAGCTTGGATGACCAACTTTGATGTATCCTGTGAAGAGCAAGGTGGTGATGAGTGGGGTTCAACGAGAGACCAAGGAAGATCTTAGCTAAAGGGAAAGTTCGCAGGAAGCCATAGTTTCATAGAAGTGAATGACAGTATATAAACAGTAAGAAAAAACACACACACACACATATATATATATATATATATTTGGTTCCAATGTCAAGATATGTCAGGATGGTTTGTTCATTTTTGTTCCTTTCAAGGCTCCCTTTTGGATTTTTCTTCATCACCTCCAGTGGCCCGTCGGACAGCTGGACAGGCTATGAGAGCTGGTTCGGTGCTGGCTTCGTGACCTTCAATGGCGACGGCAGCATTGAGTCATTTGGCGGTCCAAGCGAGTCGTGGGTCGAAACGCGAACTCAAAAAAAACTACGCTTAATGGGGAGTACATATTTATAAACCAACAAACAGATACAAACAGAACTGGGGGGCAACACATTGTACTACTGTTGCACCGTAGTGCTATTTGGGCAGAAACTTGGACCATTTGGGCATCCAGCAGTTTTCAACGGTCCTGGATTCCTCCGAGGCCTACACTCAATATGGCGTCTCTTGGTGAAGTCTGGATTTTCGTTGCACAGAAGTTGCCAAACTGCGTGGTTTTGCGCAGGAAACACAAAAATTGTGCATCATTGTGCAAGGTGATTTAAAGATTACATATGATTCCATGGCCATTTGCCATGGTTCTTTTGGACTACATGCATGGCTTTCCGTGCAATTCCATTATATGGTTTGTCTTTCCGTGCTTTATCTCTTTGCAATTGATATACATATCCACCTGATGTTGACATAAAACGGATCGGAAAAAGGTTGGCAAATGGGCAGATATGGTCGTTGAGTACCATATGTGAATATATGTGAGCCATTGTGCAACAAATCTATAGTATTTGCACGAACTTGCAATTTCGGGGACGAAATGAGAGTCAAATCTTTGGTGTTGCTTCTTTTGAACTTCGCTCATTTTTCCCTTCACAGCAGATGATGATTGCCATTTGAACGATCCCTTTCTTCATGTGTCGTTCCTTTACTCTGTTTGGGTCATTTGAGGCTACCATTGAGCACCCCTCTGACATATTGGCTTCCATATTCAAAACAAATCTCAATGACGCCATTGGAAAGGCCATGAAAGCCCCATTGTAGAAAAAATGGGTCCAGCAGTCTTTCGTCGTTGCGGAGGAATTGGTTCTTTCAGTGGACCTTCTGTTCGGCCGCGGCCACGATTGTCAGTGGCGGCGTCGCGGAGCGTGTGAACTTTCTCGGCTACTGTCGCTTGGAGCATCGTCCTGGGACAGGTATGGTAAGAACCCAGTTGTCCTTTGGTAATGACTTTAAGAGTTTGCTGTGGTTAGATGACCCATATGTATATGTATATATAGGCTCGTCCAGGCTTCTGGAACTACCTAAACCTTGGGGTAAAGGGGTGGGGTGGGATGTTAACGTTCATGTGAACTTGCGGCAGCAGTTGATGCTACGCACACGCGGGGTGGGGGGGGGTGGGGTGGGATGTTAACGTTCATGTGAACTTGCGGCAGGATGTTAACGTTCATGTGAACTTGCGGCAGCAGTTGATGATGATGTGATGATGATGATGATGATGATGATAATGACCCTAATGAAACTTGTTAATTCCGCGACGAAATTTCGTCACGGAATGGACAAGTTTTACCAACCTAATTCAGGTTTAGGTAGTTCCAGAAGCCTGCACGAGGCTATATATACATATATATATAATATACTGTAATATATTTAGATGATTTATCTATTTAGCTATGTTGAATTTGCGGAAACTCAGCCAGGATGCTGGGACTAGCTCCAAGCCTTGTGTACTAAGATCTTGAAAGTCATCAAAGCAGTCCCATAGTCCCTATAGTTGTGAGCCTTGATCCTGCACCATTGCGCTTCTCTTGACCAAGAGAATCCATTGAACCTGTCGCAGACTGCAAGCAGGGTCAAGCTGGTCACAGTATGTCAAAATGCCAGCCTTCTTTCCTGATGCAAGTGGAGGTAAAAAGCAGCTGCCAAAAAGATAAAAGTAACATCCTATACATTCCTATACTATATACAATAGTAATGAATTAATTATAGGGTTACCTATATTTATTCGTAAGATCCTTAAGTCCAAAATCAAGTGGCATATTTCGATTAAGAAAAGATCCTTACAAAGGTCCGAGGCCGTCTAGTGAGTTGTGGCGTGGGGGTGAGTCGAGCAGTGTTCAAACGCCCTGTTGGTTGATGATTGCAGGGGAGGTTATACTATCCTATAGATCATCACTATATATATAGGGGATAATCACAGCAGATGCACTTGGGATATTTCCCATATCAATGATCAATACTTTTTGTCCCAATTATATCTTCATGAGTCATATCAGTTTAGGCTTTACGGCAATATATATACATATATATATACATATATATATACATATATATATACATATATATATACATATATATATATATATACATATATATATATATACATATATATATACATATATATATACATATATATATATACATATATATATATGTATATATACATATATATATATACATATATATATATAATATAAAGGGACATTTCAGAATGGGGATGTCCCATAGTAATTGGGATAATGTTATTAATGCAATAACAAATCACCCATGTAAATTGATTCTTAATACCACCCATAAAAAAAGTAATTCTGGGGATGGTGGATCCTATTGTCTTTCCAAGATTATTTCACCATCTATCAATAATCATCTAGAAAGATCACTATGAACCACTATTTTCATCACTGTGAATCCCTAATGACCACCTGGAAAGCATCCATGCATCGTTTTGTCAGGTATCTTCTCCTTCCTGATGACCAGCTTCGTGTACCCGATCATCGTAGCCTGGACCTGGGGGTACGGCTTCCTGTCGACCATCACTCGAACCGGTCACTTGATGAACGAAGTGAACCACGGTGAACGAAGCCGGCCGGTCGTGGAGTGGTGAACTAGCTGGGAATTGCTTAAAGTGGGTGAGTGAAAACACCTGTTGCCCTCTGGCAAACTAACATAGCTATGGAAAATCACCATTTCGAATGGGTAAATCAAGTATAAAGAGTCATTTTCAATGGCTATGTTAAAATACTCGACGGTAAGGTTAACTCAGTGGGGTAAAGTAGGGTTAATTATATAGTTCAGTTACAACTGGGATTGAAACCCACCTACGATTCGGGTGAACCACCAAGTAGGTACCATGTTGGGTAGACGCCGAGGGGTTGCCCGAGTTTCATTGCGTTGGGATGGAGGGGTAGGGGGTGGGTGGGGGATGTCTAATAACGTTCACTGGCCCTCGCAGACATAATTGATGCTACGACAGCGACTGTTCACTTGCATTTGCAGGCCTTGTTGATGCTACGCTGCACTTGCGGTGGGTTGGGGTTGACTGGCATTGAGACTTGCACGCGCATTTGACACTACACTGCACTTGCATAGAACTTGCACACTCCCTTGATGCTACGCTGCAGTTGTGGTAGGTCGAGGTTATATAATTTTCATTAGTTTTCATTGATACTTGGTTGAGTGCTTTTAGGATACTTCGTGGTTGCGAGCGCAGTGGCGTGAAATGTACAAGTATGGACCGCTGGATTCACTGCAAGGTTCATTTTCAACTTCCATATTTCTGAAAAACTGGAAGTTGAGATCACCCGAAGAAGCATGCCATGCTGCAACAGAATAAGATTAGATGCAATGACTTAAAGAAACACCACGAAGAACAATGAGCACGGCGTCGAGGTCAAATACTTGTTTTCTTTTTCTTTTTTTTCAGAGTTACATGAGTTGCCTTTGCAAACATGTTACTGTATGTCCACACATGAAGCCCACCATGTTGCTCATGGTACATTATATGTAAATATCACAATGATTGCAGGTTAAATCCAAACGTGATTTGTCAGCCACACAGAATTTGAAGGTGAAACTCTCATCTTGGGTTCATTTTTGTTGCTAGAACCACCATTTTTGTTGGAAAAACCACCGTTTGTGTTAGTGAAGTACCCATTGTTGTTGGTGAAAACAACCGTTTTGCGAGTATAAACCACCGTTGTTGTTCATAAAACAGCGTTTTCGTTAGTAGAACTAAGACTATCTCAAACCACCGGTTTTGTTAGTAAAACCATCAGTTTTGATGGCAAAACCACATTTTTGGTTGGTAAAACCACGTTTTTTTCCAGCTTGGTCGGTGGATTTTCAGGATCCCTTACAAGGTCCTTGTACGACGATCTTGTCACATTCTACAGGAGGTGCTTGCTTCACCTTGGAAGATCCTGGCGAAACCTTCTGAGAGGTCCTGGTATGAAGATCTTGGAAGTCCTGAGAAGTCCGCCCATGTTCTCAACATTGTATACCCTCTGGTAAACATACAAAAAGCTATTGAAAATGGCCATTGAAATAGGCCATTGAAATAGTGGATTTTCCCATTAAAAATGGTGATTTTCCATAGCTATGTTAGTTTACCAGAGGGTATCTGACAACAGGGGTCTCAACATTGTTCTTGTAAGGGGTCTCTTGCCGGAACAACTGTTAGCAAAATAATCACTTTGGTTGGTAGGAATAAACTGCAAATTTGTTTATTGTATAACCACCATTCTTGTTAGTGAAAAGAATCGCTTTTGCTACTGAACCAAACAAATGTTGGTAAGACACATCCCATTGCTTTGTTAGCAAAGCCACCATATTTGTTGGCAACAAACCATCCTTTTTGTTACTAAAGAACAACAAATTAGTTGGCAAAACTAAAACTACCAGTTTTGTTCGTACATTTTGGTTGGTAAAACCTAAAACCCCCAGTTTTGTTACTAAAAAAAGGGTGTTTGTTAGTTCACACGTGTTAAGATAAGGTAAGATATGTTAAGATATGTTATCAGATAGCCTTTTCCAACTTTTCTCCTGGGCCCGGTAAGCCCGGTAAGGCTTCATGGATTTTGCCGGCAGCGGCATCGCCCACATGACCGGCGGCGTCGCTGCGTTGGTGGGCGCTGCCATGGCTGGGCCGCGCAAGGGACGTGGCTTGGGTAAACCAGGTGGATCTGGGGCTTGAAAAATGGGGGATCCCCTTTGTAGCTGGATGGTTTATTTCATAGAAAATCCATGAAAATCCCAAACAAATAATCAAATAATAGCTGGATGATTTAGTAATACCGGTTTATTGATGTTTATTTCATAGAAAATCCCAAACAAACAGCTGGATGATTTAGTGATACCCCCATGGATTGGAAAACTCCATACAATACCTTCTGGTACTCCAACATTAAAAACACGGGATATATGGGGAGATACTACCTTCTGGTAATTTTGTATAACTTTTTTTTGGGACAACATCGTCATTTTTGATGGGTAAATCAGCTATTAAATAGGCCATCACAACCATAGCTATGTTAAATTACCAGCAAGTACAGCCAACCAATTGATAGGGATATATATATAATTGAGAAGCAGTATATTGAGAAGCAGTATGTATATAATATATAGTGTCATAAGTTTCACATACTGGTTCATGGCTGTTGCCCAAAAATGCTATTGCGCACATGGATATTTTACGGGGTAGCCAACAATATCATACTTGTGTGTCACCCCGGAACGGCAATTTTGATCAGGGGACACTAATAAATAATGATAACCAAGCGGATAAATTGGGGGGTCCCTATGTTAAGACAAGCCCAGGTGGGATAAACACATAGATTTGACCATGTTTTGGGAGTTCCAAACCAAAAAAAAATCCAACATTTGCTGAAGCCGGGATTGAAGTAGCGCAAAATTGGAGTAAATCAGGAATTACGTTCTTCCAGCGGTCCCCGCCAACGCACGTTCTATCAATATCTATCAATGATTTTATTGGCATATATTCTGATCGTAATTTTCTGACAATTTTTCTGCTATTATATTATGTAGTGCTGCAGATGTTCTGACATCCTCTGTGGCAGTTTATCTGGCATTCTATCTGACACATATTTTGACAAGTATTCTTGAAAATTTGTATGATATTTTACCAACCTGACATTTCATCTGACCTTCTCTTTAGCATTCTCGGATTCTGACATTTTATCTGGCCCAGTGTTTGGGTCCTGCCGGGCCCAAGCCTGCAAGCTCGCAATTCTGGGGGTGGCAAGGCCCAGAGAGTCGGGAGGAGAGGAGGAGGAGGAGGAGCAAGGCGTCGTAAAATCTGAAGACCATCACCTGGCAGGGAAAAACGGGGATTCAAACAACAAGCTCGAATGGTGTGCCCGGGGATCTGTGCAACAAAATTGTCGAATTAAGGGATAAGAATATGTTGGATTTGTCAAACATGTCCTGAAAAGGTTGGGAAACAACAGTCACAAATGGGATGAATATCTTGGCTGGAAAATCAAATTTATTCATAGTGAGAAATTCATCCATGCATGGGTAGTGAATCGGGTACTGAATCCCCATGACAGCCTGGGGTGTTTCTGGGCCAATACAGGTTCTGCTGGGGAAACCGCCCACAGATCAGGCAGAGTATCAAATCATTTTTGAATTGGGTAATGAATGGAAAGCAACTCAGAAAGTCCTGGAATTCGGAGCCCTAAAGACGACACTGTTCTAAAGGTGGATTCCTGTTTCTTGGTGGATTCTGTCCTCATGGGAACCGTGAAGAATAGGGAAGATGATCTTCCTTTTGAATACAACCATCTTTTTCCGTGCGTTTTTCATTATTCCGTAAGTCTTTGGTGTTATGAATTCATAGTTGATGCAAACCCCAAAAACATGTTTTGGTGTATTTTGAGACCCAGATAGACATGCAACATGAGGTATGTTCGGACATCACAGCACATGTTTTTTTGCCACATTGCTTGCAATGATATGACAATTTCATACAATTTCCTTTTTGGTTTACCATTTTCAATTTTCCATCCGGCGACGATGTTTAGGGAAGGCAATCTCACTTGATGAATTTTCTTGCAGTGCTGCTGGAAGCAGCCTGCTGTCCGTTCTGCCCAGGCTTTGAACTGCCAGAGGTGGGGCTGGGGTGGTTGGAAAGACCATCCCCAAATCCCAAATTTGATGGTATGTTTCTTCATGATGAATGTGTTAGAGTCTGTTAGAGGATTTGGGGTGCATCCGGTATCCTGTGGATCAACCTGGGGGATTTTGAAGCTTTGCGAGTTTGGCCGAGAAATCGTTTCGAGGACTACTTTGCTGCACATAGTTTGCCCTTGGTGGTGTTTGGCACCCTGATCCTTTGGTTTGGATGGTGCCCCGGCAGCACAAATGAGGGTTCGCCCACCTCAAAGGATATCTTGTTAGCAATACAATTGGCCATGTGGCTGTTGAAAATAGATGCAGCTAGTCTCAAGTTCCAAAGCTTTCTCAAAATCCACTCGTCATGAAGAAGGATCTCCTGCTGAAATTCGATTCTAACCATATCCGCTAGCTGCTAGCCCAGACACAACGAGGGTCTGCGTAAGAACCAAACGTGCTTGCTGTAGTCATTAGACCATGATGCAAAATCCAACCATACCCAACCTTTGATGCCGAGTACCTCACTGGTTTTCCTCCAAGGTACGGCTTCAATTGCGGTTCCACTCTTGGCTTGAGCCACTTCCACAGCATGGGACAGGTGGATTTTCGGTGTTTGTGACATGGTGTATTCTGGAGACATCCACCAAACAATCTCAGTCAATATTGGGGCGGAACACATATCATCAACCATCCCAATATCCAAGAACCAATGAAATTGAAACAACTTCTTTCTGGGGATGCGTTTTAAACAGGGACGTCCTGGTGACGGCGCCTGCGTGCCCAGCAAATTTTAAACTGCTTTTCACACACTTGCAGCGCGCAGGGCGGGCCTAAAAGAACATTGGGGCGTTTGGCTTAAGTCATCCTAATTTGGAAAAAAAAGAAACACCTGGGCAACTCTGCTGCTGTTAGGTGACATTGCCACGGGATTTATGGCTGCACAGGCGCTCGGATTGTGCCGTCAGTCATGCTCCATTAAGATGTCTGTTGATGTCTGTTGGTGGTTTCATTTTTTCAAACATCTTCAACCTTCAAATCTCAGATAAATGGTTCCAATTTTCTCATATTTTCCCTGTTCGCACCAAGCACCAGATGTGCTTCTTGCTTGCCATGGCATTTTTCTGTCTACCTTGTCGGATGCAGGTGGCGATGAACACCACCATTGCTGCAGCAAGTGGTGGCATCAGCGTCTTTGTAATCCGATACGTCATCAAGAAGAAATATGTCCCTCGGACATCTCTCTGATTTATCTTTCTTTGAGAGGTGGATGATCATGGATTTATGGTGGATTTGTATGGATTTGTAGCGTCTAGCTACCGCTGATGACACTTTGGTTTTCTTTTCAGAATCCTGCTGGGGTGATTTTGTCCTCAACAGGTCAACAGACCCGTACAATCGATATCCAACTTAAAGACGCCCGAAGCAACAAGTCTTGGCAGTTCAAAGAACTTCACCAAACATCCGCAAACCATCCATAAAGCATCCATAAACCATCCACAAACATCAACACAACACCGATTTTGACATCCAGCTCAGGACATTGCCGGTATGTGCAACGGCATCTTGGCAGGCCTGGTATCGATCACGGCAGGATGCGCCTTGGCGATCGTTTTAACAGAAAACCAGTTGGTTAGTGGGTTGATGAGTAAATTTGATCCCATTGATATTTTTTCCAAAGTGATTCAGCCATTTGCCTACAGCCATGCTTGCTGCTAACAAAAAAGGAGATGAGAGAGATTTTTCCAAAAAAACAAAGACAGGAAAAAGAAAGGGACACTCTGTTAGCTGACCTGGTCTACGAAGCTGATTGTGGAAATCTTTGATGAACACAATTCCGATGCATTTTTGTATATATTATTTAGTGTTGATTTGAACGACATATTTTTGCACCAGGCGTAAGCAATTGATTTTGACGGCGGCTCACACACACAGAATTATATAATTATATATATATAATTATGTATATATAATTATATATATATATATATAAAAATGCATAATATACAACTACTGCACCCTTGACAATCCTTTACATATTGGCCGTTCTCATAATACATCAGCTGGGAATCCCCATTAGCCAACCCTTCTAGGTTTTTTCAACTATGATTTTGAGACTGTTCATCAATTTCTTCGCTTCCTTCTGGAGATAGGGTTGACTTGAAGAGTACAAAGTGGCGCAGCATTGACAGTGAAGCGGGATGATTTGAGTGCGATTTGGAAAATTTCGCGAAAACGTCCAATATATACATTTTTTCCATTTACATTATGATTACTGAATAAGTATATCTATATCTGTAAACAAAAATTCGTAAAATGAGAGTGTTTATGTTTAAATTGATTAGCAACAGAAACTTTCGCTTGAAGGAGATGCCCTTGACGGGTCTTTTTTATTCTTTTTTGGGGTCCCACTTTTTTTGGTCAGTTGCATGCGACTTGCAGAGCCTTCCAGCGATAGTCTCTCTTCAGAGGGGAACATCTCAGACCGAGGAAACCACTTAGGATACTTACTGTTGATGGTCATTCTACGATCTAGATACCCAATTCTGGCACATAGCCACATTTTCATCCATTGTTTGGGATCCCCATTTCGCAGAATTTTTGGGATGCACCACCAACCAGCATAATGACATGATTAGTGATGATCTTCAGAGTGCGATTCTGAGGTGGCAACGTGGAATGTGGTAGCGCTTGCTTCATTGCCATGATCGGCCGCTTGCATAAGATATGGCTTGGGTATGGTGACCATGGTGTGGCTTGTTGTGTCTCCGCATTTCAATGGTGACCATGTCACAATCCGACATTGGGTTTGATCGGTTTGATTCACATATTGCCTAAATTCAGAACCTTTGTTGGTTCAAAAAAGTCCCACAATGTCAAAACTGATCTGAATCCATTTTGGAGAAGTCATCTAAAAGAAAAGGGTTTGTCCAAAAAGGGGGATGCGCACTCCCAAATCTACCGACTAGTCATCAATTGTCCTCATTAAAACATATTAAAACTGCCATTTTGGGTATGTACCGCATTTTCAGACACACCCAAATGGAGTGTCCCCACTATGGCCCGCTTGTAAAAACGCTCAGGGGGCGCTGTGTACTTTGCAGCTTCGGAAGGGCTGAAGATGCTGCAGGCGATTAATTTTAAGGGTTTGGTGGTGGTGAATTCCGTCAAGAAAGACCTGATTTGGGCTGGAAACATGTGCGGCTTGGCTATCTTTTGGTTGATCTTGGCTAAAATCGTGAGCAAAATGCATGTAGGGAGCTGGATTTGTCGGCTGAGACAGGAGCTTACCTTTTCAGGGTGAGCGTACCACAGCCTTTGCTTCGTGACGGTCACGACTCCGAAAGATCCCTAATTATACAGCATCGTCAAAACAGGAAAGTAATATGTAAGATGACTAAATCATGAACTATAACATGAATAAAGAACGCAGTAACAACTTGTAGAAATGTCGCCAGCTTGGCGGCTCGCAGACGACCCCCATGTTTGGGTCCACCCAGGGGTTGTATCACTTAGATGGCAATTGATCTCCTGTGGTAGCTAGGGCTGGGATATTGTTACATCTTAACAGGTGTTAGGTTTACTCTTTGTTGGTGCAACGCACCTATTCTTACACAGCCATTATTTCATCATCTTTGTCCCTGATTGATGGTTTTTGTTCTATTTATAAAGCAACAACAGAACCATTTTTCCATCTCGCGGTGATATCCGTAGTTAGGTGTACATGGGATACATGGGTTTGCCACGGTTTGCCTGAAAATAGTGCACCACTAAATCCATGGGTTCATCATCAACATCCCCATTATCACTATCCCCAATAAGGTGGCCATTTCGGTATTCCCTGTTTCAGACACACCCGAATCTTATATTATTGGTTATATATAAATTAATACTTATATATATATATCCATATATAGTATAATAATACGTATATATGTATATATATATATTTATAAGTAACTATATATATCTATAGAGATCCCATAACATACACCCAGCGATGTCCCATTGAATCACCATTGGACCATCCCATTAGCAAGGCATCACATCAAAATCCCATAAAATATACCCATGATTAGTATCCATTGTTGGTATATTATATATTATTATATTCTATTGGGCAAACAATCCCAAACAGTATAACAGTGAATTTTGTTGCTTATATAGCATCCCATGACATCCTTAATATATCCCATGAAGTCCATGTCGGATCTTCGCGCGACGTCGCGCGATGGCAGATCGATGATCCCATCGACGCCTTCGCGGTGCACGGGGCGGCGGGTGCTTGGGGGGTGCTGGCGGCGGCCATCTTCGACTGGGGGTCCCTTGATGGGAGGATGAGGTTATGGTGACCAAGGGTACTAGAATCCTTAATGGCCATTAGATGCCATTGGTTATAATTAATTAAATGGTTAGAGTTTATAGTTTCTAGTGCTATAAATGGTTCAAATAATATTGCAACCACAATGGTCAGGAGATCTTGCTACTATTGTGCTTATAAACTTACCATTATGTAACCCAATGATATCATATCATCACCACCTCTTTAAGGCTACTTTTCAAGGGAGACCATGCCAAAATGTAAGATCTATATTTTTGCCCCTCCCTTAAATGCAAAATTGGTCGCTGAACGTCCCCCAGGTGTCGGCTTGGTGGGGAGGGTCTTAAAATACAATACCTTCAAAATGTAAGCTTGCATTTTCCAGGCCCCGCTCAAAAACACCTTGAAAAAATGTATCCCACATTTGCGTATGGTCCCCGCCCACTAAAACCATGCACGCATGTAGAAACCGGCAATAGAATATACATATGGGTCATTTGGGGTGGGGTTGGGGTGGGGTGGGGTGGGGGTAACAACGTTCATGTCAACTTGAACACACATGGATTGTATGGTGTGCATAGCAATAGAATATGCATCTGGGTCATTTGGGGTTAGGGTTGGGGGGGGTGGGGGTAACATTCATGTCAACTTGAAAATATGTCATGCTACGCTGTGGGATCTTCTCTTGCACTTGCACACATACGTCGTCCTTTTGCATTTGCACGCATACGTCATGCTACGCTGTGGGATCTTCTCTTGCACTTGCACTATGCATATTTGTGTTTGGGTGGTGGGGGATGGGGTGGGGTGGGGCATGTTAACGTTCCATGAAGATTACACGTTGTCAATGCTTCTCTTGCACTTGCACACATACGTCATGCTACTGTACGCTGTGGGATCTTCTCTTGCACTTGCACACATACGTCATGCTTTTGCACTTGCACACATATGTCGTCCTTTTGCACTTGCACACATACGTCGTCTTTTTGCATTTGCACACATACGTCATGCTACGCTGTGGGATCTTCTCTTGCACTTGCACTATGCATATTTGTGTTTGGGTGGTGGGGGATGGGGTGGGGTGGGGCATGTTAACGTTCCATGAACTTCAACTTTGTCAATGTTACATTCGTGCAAACAGTGAAAAGTCTGTTCAACATGAAATTTAGATAGTTAGTTTTGCGGTCTCTCAAAACGCCTGTTCCAAGAGTTCAAATTATTGATGTTTCGTTCCATGATTCAGCTAAGATATCCTAGATGTCAAAAACATTGGGAAAACCATGAAAAAAAACATCCAAATGCCTGCGGAACATTCAACTCAACTAAACATCAGAAATCCAAAACTAAGACGTCACAGAAACCACTGCGGGTTTCTATGTGCGTGCAGCCTAGAAGGGTAGTGATATTATATCCATTTGAGGATATATTGCTACCATAATATTGGGTTTACTAATATTTGTGGTAAAGCCACTACTATAAACCTACCATTTGGGGATGGTATATATATATATACTGTAACACACACATATATACAAAAACATATGTATAATATATATATATACACTTATACCATCCATTTGTCATTTGTCGTGAAACTGAGGATGGTTTTGTATTGAGTTTACCGCATGATTGTGATTATTTTGGGTGATATGGCCATCAATATAGCTTGACTGGTTCTAAGTAATGTCAGGCATTTTCGTTTCCAAATGTTGGGGATGAGTCTGATTATCTAGGGGGTGACGAGAGAATCTAGGGGTTTCTTGGGTTTGCCCAAAAATGTAATTCCCCCGAACATTGTAGCTCTAATGGATACAATGATGGCAAATCCATTAAGAAGGGTAACATTTTGTTGGACACACCCATGGCTCATGTGAGAAATGGGGTTTAACAGGCTTGCTATATCTTACAATAGGGTTATACAAGGTACAATTTGAGAGCCCAATGAATAGGACACCAGTTTTCAAGCTGCAGAACTGATCAGGTCTTTCCACAAGCAAATTCACTGGTGTTGGTATATGTCATATACGGTTTGAACCGCACATGTAGTGGCATGAATGAGAGATTTTGGATCACTCAGATGCGCTTGATTCAGGATTCAGTCAGAAGTATATGAACTTGGCCCCTCAGCGGTTCTTCGAGCATGACAGAATCCATTCTGGTATGAATTTGTTGTAGTGGGCAGATCATTTCTTAAAACGCAATCCCAGAACTGGTTTAGTTTCACCCTATTAACTACTGCAGCTCTATATATACGTACATGTAATCATATTATATATACATGTAATCATATATATATATACATATTTATATTTATTTTTCTGTTTACATAGTTATAGCATATTATATATACATGTATGTATATTTATAGTTATATATATACATATGTACCATGAATCCAATCGTTGACCTACTGAGCAAAGTCATTAACTATAGATGTATCTACGTAAATTGATAACACTTCCCAGCTTTTGCTTTTTTTGGATCATTTGGCAGCCTGGTGGTCTACGTTCTTTTTTCATCGATCTTTAAAATTGGATGGCCAAATGATATCCTCATTACATCACTGATCAGTTTATATTTTTGGTATTCACCCTCCCAAAGTTCCATTCTAAATGCTTCCAAATGTTAAATAGTTGGTTCATGCCAGTTGTATGGGGATCCCACATATACATACATACATAGTCAATCAATCAGTCAGTCAGTCAGTCAGTCAGTCAATCAATCAATCAATCAATCATACATACATACATACATACATGCAGACAGACAGACAGACATCCATCCATGCATGCATGCATACATACATACAGACATACAGACATACAGACATAAAGACATACAGACATACATACATCCAGACATACAGACATACAGACATACAGACATACAGACATACAGACATACGTACGTACGTACGTACATACATACATACATACATACATACATACATACATACATACAATTACATACAATTACATACAATTACATACCATTACATACCATTACATACCATTACATACCATTACATACCATTACATACCATTACATACCATTACATACCATTACATACCATTACATACCATTACATACCATTACATACCATTACATACCATTACATACCATTACATACCATTACATACCATTACATACCATTACATACCATTACATACCATTACATACCATTACATACCATTACATACCATTACATACCATTACATACCATTACATACCATTACATAACCATTACATACCATTACATACCATTACATACCATTACATACCATTACATACCATTACATACCATTACATACCATTACATACCATTACATACCATTACATACCATTACATACCATTACCATTACATACCATTACATACCATTACATACCATTACATACCATTACATACCATTACATACCATTACATACCATTACATACCATTACATGACATGACATTGCATTGCATTACATTACATTTCATTACATACATACATTACATTACATTACATTTCATTTCATTACATACATACATTACATTACATTACATTACATTCCATTCCATTGCCGTTCCGTGCCGTGCCGTGCCGTGCCGTGCCACCATACCATACCATACCATACCATACATACATAAGTACATACATAGGTACGTCCATATACATATACATATAAAAATATACCATTATATCCAGCTGTTTTGTTCGTAAATCTTCCCATCATTTACCATCGATTCCGCTTCGGTGCCAAGGCGCGGCTTCGACCACTTCCATGGCTGGAGTGGCTTTTCCTGCGCCGCGGCAATGAACAGAACTTGCTTCAGGGTTGCTCCGACCCATTGGTAAATGATAGCCACAAGGGAGGTGAATTGGTGATTAATTATAAAATCCTGCGCCAGTTGGGATGCCTATTGATTAATTAGTTACAGTAGGGGGGGCGAAAGGGGGGAAGGTGGTGACCCTGGGGAGGAGAGGATGTTCTTACGGAAAAGCCATTGACCTCATTGACCACCGTTTATACCCTTTGGGAATCAAACATGGCAATGGAAAATTTATGATTTATATACAGTTGATTATGATTGTTGATTTTCCCTCTAAAACCCACATTAATAGGGACTTTCCAGTTGCCATGTTTGATGACACCGGAGAAAAATATGATTTTTAGATATTTTTAGCAATATCCCCTTTCCCATGAAGCTCTCCAGTGGTTTTCATGGACGGAGCTAGGGAGCCTGTTGGGGATCCCAACAAAAAGTGAGGACCAAGTCTGATCACAATAGCCTAATATAGCTTATATACATGCAACACACACCCCAGATCTCAATGCATCCAAATAATTAATTCGAACCCTATTTAGGAATGGTAGGGGGTCAATGTGTTTTTTTCCCAAAGAGTGTGTCCAAACTGAGGGGTTCTTACGGCAAGAGTAAAGGCCGGTGCTGGATCAGGGTGCTCACTCTGGGCTGCGGCATTTTTCCTGTCAATTTCCGTATAAAGTGGCTCTTAATGAAATCTTGATATGCGTTTCGACTGCGCAGGCCCGCACAAAGTGTGGGCCGTGGTTTTGGGCTGCGGCTTTCCGTGTAAATAAGTGGCTCTTGTGAAATCTTGACACGCGCTTCGACTGCGCAGGCTCGCACAAAGTCTGCGCCGTGGTTTTTGGCTGCGGCATTTTTCCTGTAAATTTCCGTGTAAATAAGTGGCCCTTGTGAAATCTTGACACGCGCTTCGACTGCGCAGGCTCGCACAAAGTCTGCGCCGTGGTTTTGGGCTGCGGCATTTTTCCTGTAAATTTCTGTATAAAGTTGCTTGTGAAATTTTGACATGCGTTTCGACCGTGCAGGCTCGCACAAAATGTGTGTCCGGGTTCCGGGCTCAATTTGGGCCGCAACATTTTTCTGTAAGTTTCCGCTTAAATTGGCTCTTGTGAAATCTTGACATGCGTTTCGACTGCGTAGGCTCGCGCAAAGTGTGGTCCTAGGTCTTGGGATCGGCCCTCCTCCTCAACATCATCATCCCCCCACGTCATTCTCTTCCTCCTTCTCAACACTATCATCCTGCACCTTGTCCTCCTCCACTTCATCTTCCGCATTATCATCCTCATCCTCATCCTCCTCAACATCATCATCCTCATCCTCATCCGCCGCAACATCATCATCCTCAACATCATCCTCCTGCACCTCATCATCCTCAACATCATCGTCCGCATCACCATCATCATCATCGTCATCATCGTCATCATCATCATCATCATCATCGTCATCATCATCATCATCATCATCATCATCATCATCATCATCGCCATCATCATCATCATCATCATCATCACCATCATCATCATCATCATCACCATCATCATCATCATCATTATCATCATCATCACCATCATCATCATTATCGTCATCGTCATCCACTTTATAATACATTATCCCCCCACTCCCCCCCACACTGTTCGGGGTCTCTTGCCGGGATAGTTAAAGAAAACAGTTTGGTAGTCTGGACCGGCGCATTCTTGTGGCTTAAGACGAAATGTTCATATCCACATTATTCTGGCCTCATGTCAAGTGTTTCGGGGCGTGGGTCAAAATCTAAGACCCTAATGTCAGTTTTTTTTTTGTGATCCGGGTCCCCTGACTATTGAAGACCCCCCAATAAGGGGCTCGAAAATGAAAAAATCCATCACGTTCCACAGGGGTTTCTAGGGAATGTTTGATACCTGGGGGAAAGGGGCTATTTCGTAGGGGTGCATCCCAGTTAAGCTTTGCCCAGTATAGCTTTGCCCAGTATAGCATGTATAACCCATATGGGGATTTCCGAAAACCGGGGTACCCCTAAATCATCCATTTTAATTGGATTTTCCATTATAAACCAAGAAACTATTGGGGATCGCCCATGACTATGGAACCCCCCATATATCTAGACAAAACTGCAGGTGTGACAGAGGATGATGGCACCTGCATGAAGGGTGCCGCAGACGATGGTCTCGCCGCCAACGTGGCGCAGATTGATGCTTGGTGGTGCGTCGGGTGCGTCGGGATACCCCCAATGGTTGACCGGTGGATGGAGGGTGATTGGGTGGGTGCAATCAGATCTACAGGAAATTACTATATAAACATAATATAACATGATACCCTTGCTAGCTAGGATATGGATGGATATGGCAGATTACCAAAACGAGCTGCTGACTGACTGCTTGCTTTCCCAAATGATCCCGGTAAGGTCCTTTCACTCCGTTTCTGGGAGACTTCACATGGTGGCTGGAGATCTCATATGATTGGTTAACAACCGAAGGATGGCTGCTGTCAATTGGGACCCAAGAACATCGAGCTTTGCACGTCCCCAGAAACAATCTAAACTCTGGAAGCAAAGAAAATGGTCCATTAATATCGCATATATGTATATGTTAATATCCCATTGAATCCCATTAATATCTGAGGTTTCAAGTTCCAAGTGGTTTTCTGGCCATCGCACCTTGGACGTCCCAGCTTGGACATCGACCAAGGTTCTGGTATCCTTGTGGACCGCCTTTTGGTCCGCCCTCATCTTCCTGCCGCCACTTGGACCGCGATACCGCGATCAGATGAGTTTTTTTTGTTCCAACAGAGAGGTGGAATATGATGGAATAGAGACATCAATAGAATGATTAACTCCTGGGGAGGTAAGAAATTTGCGATGTTACGACCGTTACTGTGCCAATAATACTAATCTCCTTTGGTAAACAGACATGTATGCAATGTATGCTGGAAAATCCGATTATCCAATTCCAACTGGTGATGGTCCATTGCTTTGTCAGATTTAGGAGGCAATCAGGGCAATAGAGGGCCATATACCTTAAGGTTGTTTCTAACCCCTGGTGGGACTGGTTGTGTCCACACAACCACAAGGGGATGTACAATACTGGCAGACCAGAAGTATGCAGATTGACCGAGAATAAGAAACATTGTCACATGTCCATACGCAGAGTGTCATATATGCATGCACATGTATGCAAAAGATATCAACACTTGAACCACATTGATCGTATGAAGAATCGCAAAAAACATATCACCCATAATCCCATACGGCCCATACCCCTCACAAATTCCCTATATGCTAATCCATGGTTTCTTGGGAGGGTTAAATGGAGGGAAAGGGATGACCAGATCGCAGGCTGCGGCTCTCTGGGAAGCTAAGAGTCTCGGATGAAGCGCAAGACGAGGCGCTGTCCGCCAGGAGTTCGAAGGGAAAATGGACACGGACACCCCTGGATATCCCTGGATTAGGATGTCAAAAAAGGGTTTTAAAAATGGTTTCCTGTTAAAACATGCCAACATTTGACCTTCAACCAATCCATTCTAGGTCTAAGGCCTAGTGATGAAATGCAGCAAGTCAATTTTGCAACTTGAGGGGCAGATACCATACTGGGTGGTTTCAAAAATGTTTGATTTTCAACCATAGGGATGGGATCTGTTCTCAGAGGTTTGAACCCACCACCCAGCATAGTTTGGCGGGATCTGGGCCAGGGAATGGATGCAAGCAAGCATTGTCCTAAAGCGGCCTATGACCATGGGGAGGCAGGGTAGTTCTTGGGCTGGACCCTTTGTGCCCGGGTTTTTGGAAGCTATGTTTCATCACTGGAAGGGAAGCATTGGTGATGAATATGGTTGAACATCAACCTGACCTGGCCAGGGTGGGGCAAATGGTGTGATCTACACCTCCAAAGTGAGCCCAATCACGGAGCACCTGGAATGAAACGTTGGAACAAGTCCTGTTCGCTCTGGAGCACATGGATTTGGCGGGAAAATGGAATAATCCCTTCTCCTAAACCCTTTGCCCCCGAAATAAACACCTGGAGATACCTGGAGTAGTTTTTGGTGTCGGGGGCATTTGGTATATAGGTGAGAAGCTTCACCCTAATAATCAAATTAAGACCTCAATTAAGACTACGTAAAATTTCCGATTTCAAAATCGATCAGATCCCTTGTTGAACTCTAATTAAAATATTGCCAAACATTGGATTTCGAAGGTTTCCCGTAATAAGCAAATCAAACCTTAATTAAAAATAACCTATATAATATTTATTACCATTTTCCATTTCAAATCGATAAAAATCCTTATTGAATCAAACTGAACGATTACCAAAAATTGGTTTTCGAAGCTTTCCCCTAAATTGAACAACCTAAAAATGTTCGATTTCAAAACCGATCAAATCCCTTCTTGAAATCGAATCGACATATTTTCAAACATTGGATTTCGAAGCTTTCCCTTAATCAATCAAGACCTTAATTAAAAACCATCTAGAATTATTCTCAGTGACCGGCGTGACCGGGATAATACACCGTCCCCGACTATAGAACTAGGTTTTATATGTTTTTTTATTGTTAAGGGGTAAAACCCTCAGATGGGACCTTGATTTTTTAATTGGGAATGGACCCAATTTTCTTATATTTGGTCTACGTTTAGTAATAGGGGGAAGTGTTAGCAATGTACTCACAATTGGCCTTGTCGTTGTGAACATTTAACCGTCCATTCTTGCATTCTTGGAGGCTTGTAATTTTGAGATGTTTTGAGCCGTTCTCGAATAGCTGTGGACTTGAAAGCCAAATCGGACACTGTGTGCTCCTTTGCGTGCTGCTATCAGCAAGGAATCCATTCGCCATGCGAAGAACCTACTTTTCCACTGCCTCCTTGCGCTTTTCTACTGTGGCAGGTGGCAGGTGTCACCATGACAATTCTTCATGTTAAATTATCCATTTGAGCAGTTTCAAAAAATCCACTTATTGTAGTTGATGAGCAGTTCCGGGGATATACTACCCTTTATATAATTCGGATTTTAATCACCATCATAATCCACTGGGAATCCCAGCTGAATCAGCGACTGTGGAGTTCTCAAGTGTCCTGCTTGATTTCCGACTGCCACAGTGCGCTTTCCACAAAGGCGCTCGAAGGTCTCCTGTCAAGACATTCTTGCAGCCCTCCAGGATGTCAGGATAACTGGTTGGTGGTTTGAAACACAATCTTAAAAATGCCTAGATACAAATTTACCTGAATACATACCATATTTGATTATATTAAGATGAAATACCTACCTAAAGATGATAAGATGATTATCACCTGAGCACCAATTCTTCAGTCGTCGTCAGTGTGATGAATCACCAATCAGATGAGTTCTTGACACTCGAGTACTGCAGGACTTCGTTACTGTGTAGCCGGAGTGGTGTCGTTGGGCCTACTCTGTCCAGGTTCTCCACGAGGGTTGGCTTAGGCCATCTTTAGCTGGGATGATCTTCAGTGAGTAGCTGATTGGTAACTGGGCTAAAGGACCCATTGACAGCGGGTGTACCTCTCATATATATATATATTACATATATATATATATTACATATATATATATATTACATATATATATATATATATCATATATTTGTACACATAGTACATGGGGATATGTCAGGATCATATAGGATCATGAATACTACAATGAACATTTTCCGGGATTCCCGGGATGATGATAGATGCTGGGCGCCAAAAACACTGGGCGTTGCAACCTGTGGAACCTGCAGAAAATGATGTGTTGCGGTCAAGCCGCCACGGCTACCCTCACCAAACGGTGAGGCACTGTTGGACCCTAGCACAACATGCCATGAACGGAGAATGAGTGCAATTCAAACATATTCAAACAAGAGAATCTGTCGAAGTAGAGACAGGATGTACTCTTTATAAGACTCTTGCTATCTCTTGAAAACAACTACGCTGGAGTGGCCGAAACTCCAAAATCATGCGCTGGTGTCACGGGTTTTTACACATAGCACAACTCGACACCCCCTGTCAAAGATTGGATCGCAGGTGAGAAAACATTTTTCCGCAAATCTTGCAATAGAGGCATTAAAGAACATCATCCACCACAGCCCCATGTGTACAGTACACCATCTATTTTTTAATTAGGAAAAATGCTGGACCGACATGAGATAGGTTCCATGTTAAAAATGCAGGGAATATCATATACTTGAGAGGTTAGGATAGAGGGGTTGCTAGTTGACTTAACATGACTTAACCATTTTTGAGCAGTTTGAGGTCTCCAAGTCTCTGAGTTGTATATAGAGAACTGCTTCTTTCTTCCCTGGCAACGCAGGGGTCCAATCTTCAACTGCACAGCCAAAATTTGCTGTGTTTCCAGCCATGGATGGAAAAAAATGTACGGCCGAGCGGTAGCCAATTTTTGAGCCATTTCCCCCAATGTTAGATACCTCTAATCGAAACCCTTTTGGTATTGATGGCATTGGGTCTATTCATGACTTGGGTATTCTATGAACGGGGGATGGGCTTAACATCGGATGTGATGAGTTCCGGCTTTGACACCTTTCCCTGCAAAAGACTCAGACCCAAATGAAGCACAATGAACTAATATTGCAGATTGTTGGAGTTCCCAGGTTTGGTCTTGATCTACCAATAACGCATAACTCGATGAAGGACGATTTCTCCGTACGAGTGGAGAGAGCTTTCCAGGGATGACCAGGGATGACCAACTGGTGGAATGCCTGAACTTCCCCCTGGTTGGACGTACAAAACGCGCAGGAGTATGGCCCCTTTGCCTATGGAGAGGCGGTGTTCACATGGGAACCCTATGAGATGGGACCTGTGTCTGGAAAGAATCATTTTCCAAAGCCACTTTTTGGGATTCCGAATGTCACTTTGAATGTAGATGTTGCATTTCTCGGAAAAGAACTGCCGTGAAATTGGTGCCTCGAGTTTTCGTTGAGACATGTTGAGACACCCAATAGAGACTCCGCAGTGCTGGGTTTGGGTCCGGTGCGACCCTGTGAATCAAACGCCAATGGTGGCATGACCACCCATGTGTGTTTCCAAACAGGTATCATTTTGAATATATGTGACCCATACCCTAATTGTAACAATTTCAACGATCTGGGGTGTTATTTCATGCACCATTTTATTCATGTCTCAACAATACATACCTATTTGGGGATGGGTCAAAACCTGATATTATCATCAAAGCATCCATTAACAGGGCAATTTAATCATATTTGGGTGGAATAACCCATCCATTCACCAGCTATCAGCTATTTTTTTTGGTACCATCCGGGTACCAGGGTTTTGACCTGCCAGACCTCGCCGGTGCGCTCCATTGATATTCCGCCACTCCAACGACTTGTTTTTTTTGGGGGGGTGGGGAAAAAACCCTCCAGTAAACTCACATGGCTATGGCTTAGATGTTTCATTTTATAGATGATTTAGCTATTATTTCAATATATTTTAATGGCAAACTGTGAGTCTTCTGGAGGGTATGACAGATAATGTGGTAAACCCAACCACAATCCTTCCATTTGGGGATACTTTCTTTCATCAGCATTTCCGATAAACATGGGCGTGGTTTACTATTGTGTTTACCACCAGCCAAGCTTGGTGGTCTCGCTGATGGCGGGTGGTTGAGAGCTTGCGATGTGCGATACATGGGGAAATTACCACATATGTATGTTACGTATACAATAACGCAACATTATATATAATGTCTATGAAAGAAACGATATATTATTTTGATTCAAGTTCAAATATACTGTGTTTCCACAGGGGCAACATACCCTGGCAGCCCTGAACTCTTCGCAACGTTCATGTGCCTGCAATTACCTGCAACCGTTCCCAATTTCAGGGCGTTGGATTGGACCCAACAGCTACCCTTTGGCAAAGTAATAAGACAGTGGGAACACCTAATATTTAGTTGATCCATAATCTCAATTTGTAATATATATATATATGTATATATATAATATATATATATAATATATATATATATAATGTGTAATTGTGATCATCATGTAATGGACAATCATGGAAAATCTCAATTTGTAATAATGTGTAATAAACAATGGCAAATAGAATTTGTAATGATCTCAAAGAACTTCACCGTAGATGATGCGAAACTCAGGGGAATGAAGCCTCCTGGAAACTGACCTTACAAATTGCAATCTGGGGGCTGGGATTATCATAGATAAATCTGATGCACATGGCCCAACAAATCTGATGCGTTCATTATTCAATATACATGAATATATATATATATATATACATATATACATTTATATTCATTATATATACATATAAATACTATATAATTTATGATTATACCATAGATAAATATGGTGTGTCCAGAGACTTGGTGAGTTCCTTCAACTCAACTGGATCTTCCATCCCTTTCTGTCAACCCTGGCGTCCCTGGGACGGGCTCGACCGGCTCTGAGGATGGAGGCAGATTCGATCAACAACTTTAGGCCGAGCGGTGAATCATCGCGGCTAGTGGAACGAAGAGTGACACATAGTGACACCAAAAATTCACCAAACATTCCACCAACTTATTGGGGTGAATCATCTCAAACTGGATTGTCTACCTAAATCCCAGGGTGAATCATCATGTTCCTGATTTTTCACTGGCCATAAATTTGGCTTAAATCCACAACTTTGAGGAAAAAAAGGGGGTGTCTACTTGCATGGTGGTTTTAGGTTCAGTCCAGCTTCATGACGTTGGAGGATGACACCTATCAACTGGCCATATTTGCTTCGCCGACCGTGGCCATTTTTTGGATCCGTCCTCAGTGAACCACCCACCAAGAAATGGCTGCACCATTATCATCATAGCTGCTTCCAGAACGGCCATAAGCAGTGATTGTGCCTCCCGGTTTTTTTTAAAAATATTTTTTTGTGAATTTTGGTATTTTATGAATTTTTCAGCCAGAGCCACA